TGCCATCATTCAGGACATCCTTATGACCACAAGGGAGGCTAGAAATGTCAGCACGAAGGGGGCTTGAGCTCCCTCTGGAGACTCCAGAAGTCACTGGTTTAATGCAACATAAACTAAATTGTATGTTAAGTTTCAGTGCCATAACTTTTTATTGGATTGATAAAGGTATCAAAAAAGCTGTTTAAGAGGAACGTATACAGAATGGCCATGGTATTGCTAAAATATTTTTTTTTCAGCTAGTTTAGCATTTACTTAACATTCTGTCTCAGGTTCCTTCAACAATTCCCTCACTAGCAAGATTGAGGATTAATATGAGCATTACCTACTTGATTTGTGATACTACAGACAGAATTTGTTGTTCTCTTCTTCAAGGCCCTCTACTTCCGGATTACACCCTAAAGCTCAAAGTGCATGGAGCTTACCATCACATCCACGTTGCCCAATTATTTTTGTTCCATAGCACACCTTTAGAAGAGCTGCAGCTCCCTTTCAATGAAACTTATGAAGTCTTTAAGAAGTAAGGGGCAGGCTGTTTAAGAAGAGTAAACTTCAGAAATTAACACTCTTAACACATAAGAGATGAAATCTAAGACTGTATCTCCCATTCATGCTTATGAACACAAAAGTGTAAGTGAATGCAAAGACAAGAAAGACATCAAATCATATCCCGTTCACTTGAAGTTTGCAAACATCCTCCTATCAAATTGGTACATATTCAAAAGACTGTAATTCCCAGGGTTGGCCAAGGTTTGAGAATTAGATACCTCTCTACATGGCTGGTCTGAGTAGAAAATGGCACCTCTTTACAGAAAGGTAATTTGATAATACATATTAAGAACTATAAAAATGTTCATACTGTTTGACCCAGTAATTCCATCCTACTAATAAATTTATGCTAAGGAAATGATCACAGATATCCCCAGTGATTTATGAATACAAAATTTTCAATTCAGTGTTGCTTATGTTCCTCCTCAACATCTGGAAACAACTCAAATGTCTAAGGGGTTGCTTAATAAATTATAAGCTCTCATATTATGTGGCCATATGATTAAAAATGTTTTCAAGTAAAATTTAATGACATGGAGTAATAGTTATGACTTAATATTGAGCTGAACACAATAGGCTATAAAACTCATAGTATAGCATGTTTTTTTTAAAAAGCATAAGTATTTACATGTATACATAGGAAAAAGACTAGAAAAAATACAGTTAAGTACGTACACACAAGAAAAAAGACAGGAGGGAAATATACTCAGAATTCTAACAGTAGTCACTTCTGAATGGTAGTATCAAAAAAGTTACCCTTTTCTGTGTTTCTCACTTGAGAAACACAGAAGCAGTGGTTCTCAAACTTGAGTGTATATCACAATTTCCTGGAGGCCTTGTTAAAACATACAGAATTTTTGTAAGATATAGCAAGACTTGGGGGACACAAGAAACAACAAGAAACAGGTTGTTGATGAGGATATGGAGAAAAAGGAATCCTTGTGCACTGTTGGTGGGGATGCAAACTGGTACAGGCACTCTGGAAAATAGTATGGAGGTTCCTTAAAAAGTTAAAAATAGAACTACTCTATGATCTTGTAATCACACTACTGGGTATTTACCCAAAAACTACTAAAACACTAATTTGAAAAGATATATCCACCCCTATGTTTTTTTTTAATTTTTATGTATTTATGATAGAGAGAGAGAGAGAGAGAGAGAGAGAGAGAGAGAGAGAGAGAGAGAGAGAGAGGCAGAGACATAGGCAGAGGGAGAAGCAGGCTCCATGCACCGGGAGCCCGATGTGGGATTCAATCCAGGGTCTCCAGGATCGCGCCCTGGGCCAAAGGCAGGCGCCAAACCGCTGCGCCACCCAGGGATCCCCACCCCTATGTTTATTACAGTATTTATAATAGCTAAAATATAGAAGCAGCCCAAGTGTCCACCAAGAGATGAATGGATAAAAAAGATGTGGCGTGTGTATGTGTGTGTGTGTGTGTGTGTGTGTATAATGGAATATTACTCAGGCATAAAAAAGAATGAAATCTTGCCATTTGTACCAACATGGATGGAGCTAGAGAGTATTAATAAAATAAGTCAGTCAGAAAAAAACAAATACTATATGATTTCACTCATGTGGAATTTAAGAAACAAAACAAAGAAAAACAGAGACTAACCAAAAAGCCAACTCTTAACCATAGAGAACAAACAGATGGTTACTGGAGGGGAGGTAGGCGGGGGATGGGTGAAGGGGATTAAGAATACATGCATTAAGGTGAGCTCTGAGTAACATACAGAATTGCTGAATCACTATGTTGTACACCTGTAACTAATATAACACTGTATGTTAACTACTGAATTAAAATGAAAAACAAAGTAGGTTAAAGCTATATAAAAATAAATAAATATTTAGGAAGACTTGGGTAAGACCCAAGAGTTTCCATTTCTAACAAGATTTTAGGGGTAGATGATGCTTCTGGTGCAGAGATCACACTTCAAAAAATCAGTTTATTTATAACCATAATCTTAGTAATAACTCAATGCATAGGTATACCAAATCATCATGTTGTACACTTTAAATATATACACTTATATCTGTCAATTATTCCCCAATAAAGTTAAAAAAACTTATAAAAGGTTTTTCTTAATAGGTTTTTAAAATTTTAAATAAAGCAGAAAAAAAATTAAATCCTGAGTACTGAAATCTGTTGAACTTTTAGATATTATTACTAGTTTATTAAAGATATCAAAAAAACTCCACCAATCAGTAAATGCTTACCATTATCATCTTTGTCAATGTAATTATAATCACTATTATTTACCAAGCACGTAGAACGTACCAGACACCAGACATTGCCTCAAGAACTTTGCCTACATTACCTTAAGCACTCACTACAATCTTGCATAGAAAGTATTAGTATTCTCATTTTAAAAAAGCAAAAACTAACAGGGAGGTTAGGGTCACACAACTAGTATAAGGCATAGCTGGGATTCAAAGGCCAATTTATCTGGTTCTTGCAAAGCCCTTGGTCTTTCCAAGACAGGATGCACATCTCCTCCTACTGCAAAAACATACTAAGTGAGGTAGTGTTGGAATAGTTGGTAACTTGACAAGGTTTAAAAAGCTCTGGGGGGGGGGGGCACATACAGAAATATACCCCCTCACCTCCCTCACTGGTCCAGAATTCTATCATCAGAAACATTATCTTAAGGGTTGAAAGCCTGGTTGCCTCCAGGTATTTTCTTTTTCCACGCAAACACTGGCAGAGAATGCCTCAGGCTGATACGCTTTCATTAAGATGACAGAGTGATTACTTTTAACAGGCAGCATTAATATAGACATGCACTTCCCTAATTCACTCTTTTCAACACCTGTAAAGGTACTCTGAGGTTGCACGTGTTAAAAATATTCTAACATTACTTAGAACCTGATCAAGATCTAGATGCAAGTATAACTCAGGAACTCATTAAGGGAAGTTGGCAGACTGTGAGGGTCTGTGTGGATGGAGTCTTAAGCATATCTAGATTTCTATCAAATTTTATTTTCAAAATTATGTGAAGAGAGGAAATGACTTCTTAGATAACTCTATAGGAGATAAAGGCCAAACAAACATAAACTGATTCAATCAGTGAATATGATCCCACCTTCTTAATAATAATAAATTAATCCTAATGACCCTCTTAAATAGCAGCAACTCGACCTTTTAATGGCTGACCTCAAAAATGGTTGCTAAAAAGTATGGCCATTTTTCAGCCAATGGGACTAATACTGAAGTTTAAGTGTCATTGTAATATATTACCAAGTACTTGCTCATATGGAAGTATGAAACGAAATTAATTTTATTTTTTTATTTATATATAAATACCCTTGAATCCAATTTTATTAAAGGTTAAGTAAGGGATCAATCTACTACACAGAACCTAAACTTAAGTTATATGTAAAAATGGCTTGTTTCAGCTTTGCTCCTCACTCTAGAGCTTACATTTTTATTACTTCGGTGCCATGTGTTACACTCTCTGCAGAGGCTGTAGATGGTAAGAGTGCAGATATTATGTCATATAAAATATGTATAAAGATAATTAAGAATCGTGAGTGACACAAATGCTAAATCTACATGAAAAACTGCACAACTATAATTTAATTTCCAGTGAATTCAAAATTACACTAAAAGTAAAACGCCAAATGTTTTTTAGGTAATGTTTTAACAACCGATTTTAATGAGTTTTGATGAATTTACCTTCACTTATTTTCGAGTTTAACAATAATGGCTCAGAACCAAGAAACAATGCAAAGAAAACCACAACTATCTTAAAGCAGGATTTCCATGTGTATAAATATGCATGTGCATGTACACACCCACATACACACTCACCCTACCCTAGGACTTGAGAAATAAAAGCAAAAATGACATCCTATAACAGAAAAACCATAGAGTCGGGGGAAAAAATTTCAAACATCTGGTAAGTTCCTACTTTTACAGGTAACTATACTGTCTTTCGGTGTAAATGATACAAGGCAAATAAACATCTCAAACGCAAACAAGAGGACTTTACTTTCTGGTGCTAATCTAGAGTCAAGCAGAACCCAAAGAGAGAAGCGGATAAATACGTATAAAAAAACTTAACAATAATGGGGTGCCCGGGTGGCTCAGTGAGTTAAACGTCTGCCTTCGCGAAGCTCAGGTCATGATTTCAGGGTGCTGGGATCAAGCCCCACCCCACCCAGGGTCTGGCTCCCTGTTCAGTGGGGAGGCTGCTTATCAACCTCTTCCTCTCTTTCCTTCCCCCCCCCTCCGCTTTGTAATCTCTCACTTTTTTTTTTCCAGTTGACACCACTGTATTTTTATTTATTTACACGTGGTGCACATCAACATCCATCACCATAAACAATACTTTTCAGTTGCATTGAGTTGCAAATTTGATTCCAGAGTCAAAGAAAAAAAAAACCACCTTATTTAAAACATGTATCCTGCAATGGGATGTTCTCTCATCCTCTTATATGTCTTCTAAGAGTACGGTTATTTAAAAATGAGAGTTTCATGCTCAGGAATACCGTACTTCCTTTTGTGTGCTTCAAATAATTTCCTTAGCTCCTCCATATAAGTCTGATGCAATTCCTCAATCTGTTCCGGGCTTGGGTGCGGAGTCCGATGAACAGGGATTGGGCGGCCAACCACAGTGTGGATAGGTTTCCTATAGGGCATCAGGCCAAAATTGTATTGAAAAATCCCTCTGGCATGGAACAGAGGCAAAGCAAACCCCATGATCTTCTGTAGCTTCTCCTGCACAGTTCGAAGCCATGAGCCTTCAGGGTTGTTAACTTGCTTAAATAGTTCGTTTTCTCCAAAAGAAAACACCGGGACCAAGGAGGGACCATGGGTCAAAGCCACTTTAACAAATCCTTTCCGCTGGTGGATGAACAGAGTGAATTTTCCAGGATGGGCATCCAGTGATTCTTCTGCACCCCCAAGAACAATGACTGAAATGTTTCCACCTCCCTCCTTGCTCAGCACATAGGACACACTTTTCTTAGAAACTGAGACTGACCCACTAGTCATCAGATATTCTTGGAAGAGAGGACACCGGAACCAAAATGGGAGCACGTGAAGATACACAGTCAGATAAATAAAATCTTTTGAAAAAATTCACAATAAGGCTTAAGAAACGTGAAAGTGAAATGACCACAACTCATGGTAAAAAAAACAATAACAAAAAGTCTACCTTACTCCCCAAGGATCTACTTAGACAATTTACCATTCCTAACATATGAAAAAAAAGTATTGACTATAAATAACAGAGAGAAAACAGAGATCCACCACAACTTGGGATTTGGGTGAGGATGATTGCATCATGGATTTGTTTCCAGTATTTTTGGAAAGCCAACTGTCTTGGGTTAAAAATATAAAATACTGTCACAGTTAACAAACAATAAAAAAGGAAAGTACTAGGATACTCTACTCAAGGGAAAAAACAATCAACAAACACAAATACAAAATTGTTTTCAATGTGTGAAGGTGTTTCAGAGACTCAATTTATTAACTAAAAAACAGAGCTCAAATTAGCCAAGTTCTGGCTTGGCTCCAGGCATTGGCACTTTGAAACAAGTCTTCTGACTGCTACTAGTTTACACGGCGTGGTCAATCTCAAAATTACAGCTTGCTACCATCAAATGTCAGACTACCCTGATATTCCCTAACCATTATCATCATAAAAACGGTTATCAGAAAAAAGAGAACTAGAATTAATGTTATTTTCAACAACAAGAGGCTGTTTAAAAAAACAAAATGACAACTGAAAGTAGTAAACTATCTACTTGTGACCTTTTATAAACTATTTGCATTTATTATTTTATTTAATCTTTAAAACCTGGATATCTAAAAGAGGTGCTCACAAGGAAAAAACTTTTGCTTGAGTTAATCTGACATCAGCAAATACAAGCAAATGGGGCCCAAGGCTTCATCAAGAGCCAGGCCCTGTATTCAATAGTGCAAATTTAAAATCGTAAATGCTCAAGTCTAGGATAAACAAAGTAGGCTCCGCACAGTGGTCAGAAGAGTGGCTTCAACTTTTAAACACCTGTACCCTAAAAATGCTATCGTGCAAATTCATTCACAGGCGTCCAGACTCCCCTTGCATCAACAACGTGTGACTTACTGGATGACCATGGCCAAACGTGGTGTGGCCTTTCTCCTACACCAACCAACATGCCTTCTCCCTGGGCCTCTTGACAAAACGTAACTCATTCAATGTCACCTCTTCGGACAAGTCTGTACTTCTCCACAGAAATCTGATCCCTGTGATTTTGATCTACCAGAAAGCCTATTTGTTTTGTAGTATTTATTATATTTTAGAATTTTGTTTGCTTGGTTTTTTCCTTTGGTCTGTTTCTCCAACTTCACTGTAAGTTCCATGGACACAGACGCTGTTATGAACAGTCTCACTCTGTGTGGTGCCTGGCTCCGCTTGTAGCAGCGGCTGCTGTGTCTGTAACTCCCATCACATAACCAAACTAGAATTATAACCAAAATGTTTCCTTTTCAGCATCCCTCCCTATGAAATAGGATGGGGATTTTGTCTTACACATTTTTCTTTTCCTGGTGTCTTATGAATGACGGTGATATACTTCTCAAGTAGGATGAGAGGTGGTCCCCTAAGGGTGCCTTTCACATGACTTGGGAGAAAAGTTTTAAAGGCAGTAACACACTTGATGGTACACCTCATCCCAGCCCACCACAGACTGTGATGTGTGCCCTCTGCTGCCCTATTTGGTGGTGGTGACCAACACTGCTGATGTCAGTGAGCTGGGCAGGGAAAAAGACTGCCCGGGAAGTGGAAGGTAAAGACTCAACAGCATCGCAGCAAGCCCCCAAAGGTGTGTCCAATCGGTGGACTATTACCAGTGTTTACGGTCAGCATGCACAATTCGAGCTCACCCCAACAGAGAGAAAACAACATGTATGGCCTAAGTGAAAACAATTTGAAAATGAGGAAAACACTTTTTGTATTTATGTACAACCGACTAGGCTGGATGCCTTCTATACATGATCTCGAAGGCACTTGAAAAAGGTGAAGGGGCCTCCCAGTTAAGGAAAATGAGGTTTGGAGACACTTCTGTCATTTCCTGAAGGCCACAGAGCCAGCAAATGGCAGCAATGAGATTCACGCCAAGCTTTGCTCCTTACATGCCATGGTGAGTTGTCAGAAAGGACCAGTTTGTCTGTTTGCTTATTCTTGCTCATTTTCCTTCTTTCCTCTCTCTTCCCTTTTCAAAAAAAAACAAAAAACAAAAAAGACAGTGACAATGGCAAACATGCTCTGAAGTGTGCTGGGGTCAGCATAAAACGGCTGACTACGCCTAAAACAGCACATAACCATGACTGTGATATAAAACAGATATAAAATACTCAGACAGCAAGTAAATATATGTATTTCAGAAATACACCTACAAATACAAATCCTAAATACAAATCAAACAGAAATGCACAGATTCACTGACTACAGACAATAGCTGAATTACATAAATGATCTTGATTTTACAACACAAAACAATTTGTACAATATCAATGAGAACATTTAGGGAATGAAAAAGTCCTAGGAATTTTACAGTTAATTCAGGTTCGGCAGAAAACCCCCATTACTTCTTGCTAAACATTTTCTCATAGTACTGGAGTTTCTCCTATTATTAGGTCTACTATGCCAAAAATAAATTACTCCAAGGAGCACAATTCTCTTTCATGTGCCTAACATGTGCACACACACAACTTCAGATATCACATAGGTTTTCAGAAGTTATTTTATATGGCACTGCAGTAGTTTGCTAGGGCACCACAGACTAGGTGCCTTAAGCAACATCAAATTATCTTCTCACCAGCCTAGAGGCTGGAAGTCTAAGATCATGCTGTTGGCGGATTTGGCTTTCCCTGAGGCCTTGCTCCTCAGCTTACAGACGACTGCCTTCTCACTCACCGTGAGCTCACATTGGTCTTTGTCCTGTGGGAGTACAGCCCTGCTGTCTCTCTTCTTACAGACACCAGTCAAACTGGATTAGAGCTCATCTTAAGGTTGGGTGTCAGGGCTCTACACACGAATCTCAGTGTAAGGAGGGTAGGAGAGTGGGGACCAGTGCTGCCTGTAACACCCACTCTTCATTCTCCTGATAGTCAAGTAACTAGAGCTGCACAAAGTCTGATTTTGATTAATCAAAGTACTTGTCCATAAACAAACACTTGTTTAGTATAGTTTTTGTCACAAAGAAGAAACTGGCCCCAAGGGGCTTGTAGTCTAGTGGTTCCAATGAATAAATATAACAAGGAGATAATCAGAAAACAACAGGCACTAGGTACAGAGTAGACATGGAGGCAGAGATCAGGAACAAGTCTGGATCTTAGTGGAGTCTTCAGATAAGGCAGGAAATCATCAGAGGCAAAGAGCCAAAACCACAATTACAGGGAAGAAAGGGAGCCTTGTATGGAGACAGGCAAGGGGCACTAGACCATCAGGAGCCCTATCAGTCATGCTATGGAGCTTGGGCTTTATCTGCACGTGTATAAAACAATGAAAGGGTTAAAGCAGGAAAGCCATAGCTCAGACCTCCAGAGACTGCACAGGTGAGTCACTCTGTGCAAGACAATCAACAGTCTTTGCCACAAAGGCACTTTGGTATGTGGCAGTGAGCCCCCAGCAGCTGCCCAAGCAATGTTCCAGGCGAACCTGTTACTAATGATAGTTGAATGACTTATAAAATGTTCTTTATTAATTAGGCTACATTCAAGACCAACTCTTTAATGTCAACACGTTCATACACTTGGGTGAGAAATGGGCAGAGAACAGCCAGTGTACCAATAACTGCAACAGAAGAACAATATTCTGGCAATCCTCATCCCTTTCCATGTATTTCCAGCCAAATCCCAGATACACTTACTAAAAGCCTTTGAGCAAGTCACGTACACTCTTTGTATCCCTGCTGCATCCGTCCTCTGAAAGATGAGGAAAGTAAGTGTTCACCTCTCAGGGTTACGAAGGGATTAGAACGGGTAACAGATGTAAAGCTTTCAGAACAGTATCTGGCACACAGCAAGTACAACAGAAATATACTCTATCACTACCACAGTGATTACTACTACTCTACTGTTAAATGAGAAAGACAGAAGAGGAGCACTTCTGATTTAGAAAATTGATTTGAAAAAGCTTGAGAACTGATACCCAGGCTTTTCTATGGCAAACACATGGAGAGTGGTCATCACCGACTTCAACACGATTCAGGAAGAGACGAGCACGGTTTCAAGCATGGCCAAGATCGACCCGTGGGACCACAAAGTGCAAATAGACCATCAGGTATATGGTCTGGATTCTCAGGAGAGACAACGAGCTAGTTTGAGATCATGAAGGTGGAACTCATAAGTAAAATAATTCCCAATTAAAGTTAAGTATCTTCAAGAAACAGGCCCATCTAACATTTTAGAAGGGCCAAATAGACAATACTCCAGAAAGCAGAGGTTAGGAGAAAAAAAAAAAATCAAGCTTTCTGAAGAGCATACTACTTATATATAATTCAAACAACTATATATATTCATAAAATGCTCTGTAACTTATATTAATTGACACAATTTGAGCTCGGGGAGTCAAATGTGTGGCATTCTGATTTCATTATTCTTACTGGCATTTTTTTTTAAAAGATTTCATTTATTTATGAGAGAGAGAGAGAGAGAGAGAGAGAGAGAGAGAGAGAGAGAGGCGCAGAGGGAGAAGCAGGCTCTATGCAGGGAGCCCAATGTGGGACTCAATCCGGGGACTCCAGGATCACACCCTGGGCGGAAGGCAGACAGTCAACCGCTGAGCCACCCAGGCGTCCCCTTACTGGCATTTTTTAACTATGGGTACCATTTGGTAGATCAGAAAAAGAAGACTATAACCAGACATGAAGGTTAAATTTCTCTTTAATTATACAATAGCCAGTATTTTTTCAACCTTTTGAAGAAAATACCTCCTCAAAAATGTTGCTGCCACTTTAAATCTTTAAACTATGTACATTTTTCAAAGAAGTGCCGCTCCTTTGTAAAAGTTATGGTTCTATCTTCAGGGGGCTGCCATGTTGGTACCAAATTACACACAGCAGAACAAAAAGCGCCTCACTACAGTTCAGTGAAGCAGAGGAGCAGGAGCTCCAATGGCACTTTTCAGTTGCTATTTGATGATGAATGATAATATTAAGCTCCTACTTGAAGGCAGCCTACAATAATTCTCCATTCCCTGATATTAAAAACCTGTAAAGGAACATAAAGCTGGCCTCATGCTATAATTTACCCCCACTGGTTAAAGCACTCTTCTGAGATAACCAGCCTCAACTAAGGCAGGTCATGAAAGAGACAGGTTGGCAAGAGGCTGGACCTGGAATGGTGGAGGCTCAATGCAAGGCAGGTAAGGAAGAAGACCCATGGAGATGGCACCCAAAGGGCACTGCTTTCCCATACTGGTCAATCTGAATGATCAGTCGCGGATTTTAAACATACTTATTCAAATCTAAGGTAACTTAGGAGCCATCCAGTTAACTGGGATGGTGGAAAAGCATTTTTCTGTATTCCCCTTTCTTAAAATCCATTGGGAGGAAGGAGAGGATGAGCTCTTACATGAAACAAGTAAAACATCACTGCCTCCTATCAGAAATTATGATGAACAGTAGCTGAATTCTGGGAGATTTCAACCAAAGTGAGAGGGAATGTTGGTAGCTGACACAGAGCTCCTCAGCATTCAAGCATGATAGAGATTACTGTAACAGTCCTAAATGCCCCATCAAATGGCCCTTTTGTTTGAAGTGCTGATACTTAAGTGTGAGGGTCTGCTAGACAAATGGGGGGGGGAAGTGAATATTCCCAGAATAACCCTGTTCCATAGCAAGCAGCACAAGAGGAACTGATGGGTGATGTGCAAACAAGCATCTCCACTCCCTGAGAGGGGGAAGGGGCAGAAAGGAGGGAGAGGAGGCACTCTGAGAGCCTCTGATTCCACTCTTGACCCCCAAAGGGCAAGGTCTAAAAAGTGGGAGAGATTTTGTTTTAAGCAAATACACATCTCAGGGATCCCTGGGTGGCGCAGCGGTTTGGCGCCTGCCTTTGGCCCAGGGCGCGATCCTGGAGACCCGGGATCGAGTCCCACGTCGGGCTCCCGGTGCATGGAGCCTGCTTCTCCCTCTGCCTGTGTCTCTGCCTCTCTCTCTCTTTCTCTGTGACTATCATAAATAAATAATTAAAAAAAAGTTAAAAAAAAAGAAACACTTCAAATACACATCTCAGAGAAACAGGACTGATGCATGAATAAATCACATGGGAGTAGCAAAAATGAATGAAATCCAGCCAAATGCAACAATACAGATGAACCTCAAAACACAATGTCAAATGAAAGAAGCCAGAGTACATACTAAGTAGTTCTCTTTATATAAAATTCAAAACCAGAAAAACTAAATAATAGTATTAGAAGTTAAGATAAGACAGTTGTTACCTTGGGGCAGAAAGGAGGCCAAGGGGGACTTCTAAGATGCTGTGGGTTTTCTATTACTTGACCTGTGTAGTTGATGCTTGAAATTATACAGAATGATAATCCACTAAGCTATAAGCTTATGCCATATGGACTTTTATCTATGTATATTATGCTTTAATAAATATAGTGAAGAAAGAAGGAGAGAGAAAATAAATAAGTAATCCTAAAGCTAGCCTAAAAGAAAAGACAAGTCCCTCACTATGAAAAAATCAAACTGCCTTCTGAGGTCTCCCTAGTAACATTCAATGTCAAAAGACAATGCCTACAGAATTCTAGGAAAAGAAAAGGTTACTCAAGGTTTTTATACCCAGACAAATAAATTGTTTATCAAATAATGAAGGGCAGGTATTTGCAAGTATGCAAGAAGTCAGGACATAAACCAGCCTCTCTGAAAGACAACTACCTAATCATTAAATCTAGCCAATTAGGAACAAATCAAAAAACTATCAACTCTGGGGCGGCCCCAATGGTTTAGTGGTTTAGCGCTGCCTTCAGCCCAGGGTGTGATCCTGGAGGCTCAGGAAGAGTCCCACGTCAGGCTCCCTGCATGGAGTCTGCTTCTCTCTCTGCCTGTGTCTCTGCCTCCCTCTCTCTGTATCTCTCATGAATAAATAAATAAAATCTTACCAAAAAAAAAAAAAAGCCATCAACCCATT